GATCTACACATTATCACTCAATGATAATGCTTATAGATGGTGAAATACTACTAAAAAATAAACAGAAGTAATAATAATAATAATAATAATAATAATAATGGAAACTGAAAAGTTTAGTTATTTGCCACTGTATCATTTAGAAACTGTGTGTTTACTTCCTGTTGTATCCCTTCTCACTATAACTGCATATAACTATTTTGTTATACCCTAACATTCAAGGAATACAAACACTTGCAATTATATTCACATGTACATATACACACAGGCTGCCATGACATGCAAACATTATTAAAAAGTCTGTATCCTGCACCTTGTAAAAAAAAAAAAAGACCACGTTTATACCATCAATCTTAAATAGTCAAACATTTACTGTGAATACAGTTTTAATACTAATACATACAATTATTATTATTATTCGCAATTTTTTATATAAAGATTATTTTTCATCAACCTTTTTATGTCTTTCAGATGAAAAATGAACAAACTGTCTGCTCAGTTTGGAGGATACTCCCCGGGGTGCTGATACACTCCACGGACCGTCTGTGACCCAGTTCGGATCCAGTCCATGCATTTGTCATTACAACCACCCCCCTTGCCCCTCCTCCCGGACAGTCTCTGAGGTGCTGGTCACGTGACCGTGGCTGTCTGCTGCGCTGTCTGTTCACTGCGAGAGGAGCGTCGGTGTTCACTCAGAGGAGGGATGCTCACCTGTCGGATGGACTTCCTGCTGCTGCCAAACAAACACAAACCCAGCCCGGACACGTGAGGGACACTTTGACATCGATACACACCTGCTGCACGTAGTAAGTGACCAAAGTGTGTGATGTTGTTGTTATTGTTATATAGCCTATCAGTGTTATTATTGATGAAAAAGGCATTCTTTGAATAACAATGATTATCTGAAATAGTTAGATGCAAACCCGTTTTTAAATGTTTTTTCTTTTTCTTTATTATTATTATTATTATTATTTGTGCTGACCTGTTCAGAATATCTAACAAATTTCTTCCACCTCTTTTTGCAGCAACAAACTCATCACAGCCTTTTGATTATAATATATAACAAACTGGTTAAATATTGTTTTATGCAAACTAGTTGAGCATATATCTGCGAACCATAGTGACTTACAGCTTAATAGTATCTAAATTTAGTTTTTTAGAGCGAAGTTTGGAGATGTTATATTCATATTGTTGTCATCTAAGTTTAAACTTCTCAGTAATTTTGTTACTGTAAACACATCATTTTGATACTTCCCTGGGATAACTACAAATTAAACTTAAACACTGTGACTTCTCTTTTATTAAATACCCAACCAAATAC